TGGCTCCCATTTGCCTTCAGTAGTTATTTTCAAACTACACTGAGGAACCTTCTTAGCTGGGCCGAAGTGCCTCAGGGGTTCCTCAAAACAAGAAGTGCCCAGGCCAAGCAGTGAAGATGTAAACTGCCCCGAGGAGCCTGTTCTTGTATTTTGGCTGGTTGGTGTATTAGACTCCATTCATCCATTCTTCAAATGTTTACTGAGCACCTTCTGTGGCACTAGTCTAGGCTCAGGGAAAACGGCAGTGAACAAAACATAAGACCTCCCAGGATTTACATTTGAGCCCCATGTTGGGTGTAGAGATTACCAAAAAAAAAACTTAAAAAAAAAAAAATACCCACAGGGGCACCTAGTCAGTTAAGTGTCTGCCTTCGGCTCAGGTCATGATCCCAGGGTCCTGGGATCGAGCCCCCATCAGACTCTCTGCTCAGGGGGGAGCGTGCGTCTCCCTCTCCCTCTGCCCCTCCCCCTGCTTGTGCTCTCTGTGTGTCAAATAAATGAATAAAAAATCTTAAGAAGTTGCAGATTGTTGGCCTCCAGGATAAAGCTCAGACTCCTGGGCCTGCCCTGGGAGGCCCAGAATACCTGCTCCGGGTCTCTAGACCTTTGCAAATATAGAGTTCCCTCTTCCTGGAAAGCCAGAAAGCCGTCCCTCACTCCCCTTGTCTGCCCCTTCCTATTCCTTCGTCAGGATTTCCCTCAAGCAGCCACTTCTCTGAAGACCTTTGCCCCGACCTTCTCCTGCCCGGGCTGGGGGAAGGGGGTGCTCTGCGCTCTCCCAGCATCCCATGCGTCCCTCTCAGCACATGGGCTACACTGGGCTGCAGATAACAGTACCGTCCATCCCACTATTGCACGCAGTAAGGGCATTCGACTTCCCCAGTAAACACACGCAGCCATTCCACATCCTTTCCCCTTCCTCCAGATGCCTTTCCTCCCCGCAGAAGGCTGGTGAGCCTCATTTCCTACACTCCACTCCACCTGCTGTGCACTACCCCGGCCTCCTTCCATCCACCACAGGCTCTCCTGTATGTGCCAGGCTGCTTTTGTCATAGGAAGGCAGGGGCGGGGGTTATTCAAACAAATATATGAATATCTGAAATAACATGAAAATGAAAATATTCAGGGGGCGCCTGGGTGGCTCAATCGGTCAGGCAGCTGACTCTTGGTTTGGGGCTCAGGTCATGATCTCGGGGTCATGGGATGGAGCTCCAGGTCAGGCTCCATGCTCAGTGGGGAGTCTGCTTGAGATTCTCTCTCCCTCTCCTTCTGCCTGCCCCTCTCCCTGCTCATGCTCTCTCTCTCTCTCAAATAAACAAATCTTAAGAAAAAAAGAAAATATCCAGATATTTTCCAAAAGAAACAACGGAAGGAGAAATCGGCAACCAAGAAAAACTGCCTACGGGGACAAACTAGCCGATGGGGTGGCTGGGGCAGACTGGGATGGCAGAAAGTCCTCTGTAAATTGTTTCATCTACAGCCTCGTCTGCAGACCCAGGGAGATGTGTTCTGAACTTTACGCTGAAACAGAACCCCCGTACAGAAAAGGGCGCAAACCCAGAGCGTACAGCCAGATGAACTATCACAAAAGTGAACACAGCCACGGAAACAGCACCCAGAGCGAGGACCAGAGTATGACCAGCGCCGCCTCCCCGCAAGGATCACCACTATCCTGACTTCACATGGCACAGAGTCCGTTCTCCTGGCTTGGGCCTTTCCGTAAATGGAATCGTACGGTATGCGTGCTTTTGTCTGGCTTCCTTTGCACCACGTTCTTGCGGATGTTTATGAGATCAGCCGTGCCGCTGTGGGTAGTTGGAATTCATTTTCATTGCTGGAGAGGAACGGTTGGCAAATGTTTTTGTCTTTTTTTTTTTTTAAGATTTTATTTATTTATTTGACAGACTGAGAGAGAGAGCACAAGTAGGCAGAGCGGCAGGCCGAGGGAGAGGGAGAAGGTGGCTCCTCGCCGAGCAGGGAGCCTGATGCGGGGCTCGATCCCAGGACCCTGGGATCGTGACCTGAGCCGAAGGCAGATGCTTAACCCACTGAGCCACCCAGGCGCCCCCAAATGTTTTAGTCTTAAGCCTCCTTTACACTTAAAAATCACTGAGGAGGGGCACCTGGGTGGCTCAGGCATTAAGTGTCTGCCTTCAGCTCAGGTCATGATCCCAGAGTCCTGGGATCGAGCCCCACATCGGGCTCCCTGCTCGGTGGAGAGCCTGCTTCTCCCTCTCCCGCTCCCCCTGCCTGTGCTCCCTCTCTCGCTGTGTCTCTCTGTTAAGTAAATAAAAATAAAATCTTAAAAAAAAAAAAATCACTGAGCACCCCGGAGGACCTTTGTGTGGATTACATCTACAGATACATACTGTAGGACACATACTGTATTAGAAATTGAAACAGTAATATTTAAAACACACGAGCATGCATTCTATTGTCATCAGATCAAGGAAGTCATTCTGAGGCGTGGAGCCTCTTGAAAACTCCACAGTACACTTAGGAGAGCATGAGAGTAAAAGAAGCAAGTAGCTTCTTTGTATTATTATAAAAATAGTTTTGACCTCGCGGACCCTCTGAAAGGGTCTTAAGGACCGCTCCCTAGCCGTCCGTGGATCACACTTTGAGAACTGCTCCTGTCTAGCAGCTCTTGGTAAATGTGCAATGTATCTGTTTACCTGGTGATAGATTTGGACCGTTTCCAGTTTGAAGCTGTTACAAAGAATTCTGCTACAAGCAGTTTAGTATCTACCTTTGGATGCACATGTGTTCACCTTCCTCTTGGAGAAACACCTTGGAGAGGAAAGGGAGGGTTATATAGGATGGAACCATGTAAAATATTTACAGAATTTAAAAACTAAGTTTACAAAAAACATTCTCTTCATGTCTTTCTTCTTCCCTCCCACTGCAGGAAACGACTGTTCTCCTCTCCAAGGGAAGCTCCTCTCCGGATGCCCTTCAGCCTGCCCCCACGTGTCCTCCGAGCTCCCCCCCCAGGACCCACTATACCTGCATTTCCTTGCATCTTTAATCTCTTTGCTTCCCATCTTCTCCAAGATCTACCAAAAAAGACCAACTCTTGAGCTCACCACCCTCTCTTACGGCCCTTCTTTAGCTCCTTCCCTTCACTCAGACGTCCTAAAAGCATCTCCTCCCCTCAAGCCCTGCCCCACCGCACCACCCAGTCTTTCCCCTTCTTGCCACCTTCCTCACTTCCCATCTATGTGGCCCACCTTTCACGGGCACCAAGGAACACCTGAGGGCAAATCCTGGAGCCTCTTCCCAGCCCTTGTCCCTTCTGACACCTGTGGGACCCAGCTCTGCTGGATTCTGGTCCCTGAAATTTGCCTCTCCTGGCTCCAGCCAATCGCAGTGTACTGCACATCCATTCTTGTGGCGTGCTGCACCTTCTGGCTGGAGCGCCCTGCTCCCCAACTCCCCACGTCCTGTTCCTACCTGTACTCGTCTGGTAGGGCTGCCATAACAGAACGCCAGACTGGGTGCCTCAAATGACCAAAATTTCTCACAGTTCTGGAGGCTAGAAGTCCAAGGTCAAGGCATCGGCAGGTTTGGTTTCTCCTGAGGCCTCTCTGATTGGCTCGCAGATGCCCGGACACCTTCCACTGTGTTCTCACGTGGTCTCTGAGCATCCCTGCGGTCTCCCTGTGCATCCTAATCGCTTCTGATAGGGACACCAGTCGGATCGGACTAGGGCCCACACTAGCAAGCCTCATCTTAACTTAATCACCTCTGTTAAGGCCCTAACTCCAAACAGTCACATTCTGAGGTCCTGAGGGCTAGGGCTTCCACGTATGAATTACAGGGGAACTCAGGTCAGCCTGTAACACCACCACTCCCCTTCTAAGGCTGGATTCAAATGCCACCCCCTCCCCTTAGCTGGCAATCAGCACCCCTTCCACATTCTCGTAGTAGTTTATTTGGCTCCGAGCACTGTCTGCCCTGTTACAATACAAGGGAATGAAAGTAATCATGACTGCTGTGTACGGAGCTGGGTGGCTCTGATGGGCCAGGCGTATCCGGACGCAGGGCTTACTAGGTGCTTAACATGTCTTTTTTTTTTTTTTTAAGATTTCATTCATTTATTTAACAGAGAGAGAGACAGCGAGAGAGGGAACACAAGCAGGGGGAGTGGGAGAGGGAGAAGCAGGCTTCCCGCTGAGCAGGGAGCCCGATGCAGGCTCGATCCCAGGACCCTGGGATCATGACCTGAGCCGAAGGCAGACACTTAACGACTGAGCCACCCAGGTGCCGCTTAGGTGCTTAACATGTCTTACCAGTGACCCTGAACCCTTGCCACAGCACTATGAGGTAGGTAATAGGATTTCTCCCCATTTTCCAGAGGAGAGAACTGAAGCACAGACAGGCTCAGTGATGGATCCAAGGACACGTGGCTAGTGTTTTGCACTGCTGGTATTCGGACTCAGGTTGTCCTGGCTTCACAGTCTACCAGCCTTCATTTAGTGCCCTTTTCAGTTCAACGGACACCCAGGCCTACCATGTGTCAGGCTCAGGTCTTGGTGCTAGGGATACAGGAGCAAACACATCCAACAAACAAAAACACAAACAAAACCTGCCCTCGTGGAGGCTTGTGGTAACGGTACAGTTCTGTATTTTAGCGTGGTGGTAGTTCATGAAGTTACACATGGAATAGAACTCTATAGACCCATCCATACACACACACAGACAAGGTGAAATCTGAGTAAGCTCTTTGGATTGTTCCAACGTCAATTTCCTGGTTTTGATATTGTATGTTAGTGACACAAGACACTGACGCTAGAGAAGGCTGAGTGAAAGGTGCACGGGACTTCTCCGTAGATTTGGGGGAGTTCTTACGGATCCCCGATTATTTCAAAATAAAGGGTTAAAAAAATTCTCTCTGCCCTCACTGAGCTTCATTCCACTGTGGACTTAGATGATAAATAAGTGATATGACAGGATGAGAGGTGTTAAGTATTACCAAGAAAAGCAGGGAATGGGGCTACAGACTGTTGGGGGGATGGTCTCTCTTAAATGGAGACATCTGAGCCTTGACTTGTAGGAGGCGAGGAGACCAGCCACGGGCTACCTGGGGAAATGGGAGTCCCAGGCAGAGAGAACACCTAGTACTAAGACTGTGAAGAGAACTGTGTCTAGTGTATGTAAGGAAGGGCAAGGAGGTCGGTGAGGCTTTAGCAAACTAAATGAGAGGTAGAGTAGCAGGTGGTTGGGTCAGAGAAGTAAGGTAGTCCAACCTTACTTATTTGCCACAGCAAATTCCTGTACTTTCTTTTATCAGGAGAGGGAGAGGGAGCCATTGAAGAGTGTTGAGCAGAGGAGTGAGGTGATCTGCCTTGGGTCTTGAAAGGGTCACTCCGAGCCGGAACAGAAGCAGAGAGACCAGTGAGGAGCCTTAAGATCATCTAGGTGAGAGCGGGTGGCTTGGACCTGTGAAGAGGTGATGAGAAGTCCTCAGATTCTGGATAAAATTTCAAAGTCAAGCTGACCAGATTTGCTGACAAACCAGATGCGGGATGTGAGAGAGAAGAGTGGAAGATAAATTTTGGCCTAAACCACGGGAAGAACGGAGGTGCCATTTGTTGTAATGGGGAGACTTTGAGTGACCCAGTTGGGGGGGGGAAGATCAGGAGCTCTGCTGGGGACATATTAAGTTTGAGGTATCTATTAGACATCCAAGTGGCTGTTGGGAAGGCAGGAGTCAAGGAAGGTCCAGATATATGTTTGGGTATCATCAACCAAGAGTATTTAGAGCCATGATACTGGATGAAATCGCCAAAGGAGGGAGTATATATAGAAAAGAGAAGTCCAAAACGAAACATTGGGGCTCTCCAATGTTAAAAAGGAATTGAGATAAGGAAGAATAAGCAAAAGAAACTCAGAATGGGTAGCGTGCAAGGCAGAAGGAAAACCAGGTGGAACGAAGAGCACCCTACAAAGCTGTAAGAATTAAAAAGATGATTTCCCCTCCTCAGTACCTGTTCCCGGTGGCCCTGAGGGTGCGCAGGCCAAAGAGTAGGAGGCAGAGGGGAGCTGGTGTGTGGACCTAAGTACCGTAGAGGTGCACTCCTGGCAAGAACTGGGAGCAGGAGGAGGAGACCGCAGGAGCAGGCTCAGGACCAATGGCATCCAAAGAGTAACAAACAGTAAAAAAAATCTCAACGTGGAAAATGCCAACCAAGAAAACAAAATAAAACAAAAGGACGGAAAGGAGCAAGTTGCCAATAAAGGAGAGCCCTTGGCCCTCCCTTTGGAAGCTAGGTGAATACTGTGTGCCTAGAGTCAGTGGTCGGCGGTTCCCTGTTAGGCAGCCCAGCCTGCAGTATGGGTGGGCCCTGATTCAGAGGCTTGGAGAGCGACAGGTAAGGATGAGAGAAGAGAATATAGAAAGGACTGGGGAGAAGGGGAGACAGCCGAGGGAGAAGTTGAAGGGGGGGTGGGGAGCAATTCAGTCACAGTCTGTGGGTGGTTAGCGCCGACCCTCCTTACCGTGACCATCATGATGAACACATCAAGATTCAAGACGTTCGCCTTATGTCTTGAATCTTGATGTGTTCCCTGAAGTGAACAAAGAGACACACCTGCTTCCTAAACTTACATGTTCTCAATGTATCCTTGTTGTAATCCTTTTGTTACATGTCTCCTGTGGGTCTCCTATTACTTCTCCCTCTGCCCCTCCCCCCCACTTGTGCATGTTCTCTCTCTCTCTCAAATGAATAAATTAAAATCTTTAAAAAAAAATAAAAAGGCAAAAAAAAAAAAAAAGATTTAAGGGCGCCTGGGTGGCTCAGTCGTTAAGCATCTACCTTCGGCTCAGGTCATGATCTCAGGGCCCTGGGATCGAGCCCCGCGTCGGGCTCCCTGCTCTGCAGGAAGCCTGCTTCTCCCTCTCCCTCTGCCTCTTCCCCAGCTTGTGCTCTCTCTCTCTCTCAAATAAATAAAATCTTTTTTTTTAAAAGGATGATTTATATAAGCTCTTAGCAGTGTCAATCACACCTTAAACTTGAGGTAAATAGTAGCTATGATGATGATGATGATGATGATGATAATTTAGCAACTAAAGGTTTATCTGCTGCTCTTTGGGCCACCAAAAAGAAAATATTGGCTCTCAAATAAACAGTAAAAATCTAGGTTAAGAAGCCTGAAGTCTCACTTCAATTAAATGTAAAATTATCTGGATGATGAAAAAAATTTATCTGGATGACAGTCTGAATTTAAAAACTGGATGGGGGGGCGCCTGGGTGGCTCAGTTGTTAAGCGTCTGCCTTCGGCTCGGGTCATGATCCCAGGGTCCTGGGATCGAGCCCCGCATCGGGCTCCCTGCTCAGCAGGAAGCCTGCTTCTCCCTCTCCCACTCCCCCTGCTTGTGTTCCCTCTCTCGCTGTGTCTCCTCTCTCGCTGTGTCTCTCTGTCAAATAAATAAAATCTTTAAAAAATAAAAAAAATAAAAAAATAAAAACTGGATGGGATTAAAGTAACTAAACATTTGCTGTTAAAAAATGCTTATTAAGTTGGGCTCAAGCTTCCTATTGTTTGTATATTTCCTCTCTAGACCTAAGGCACCAGCATCCAGTTGCTCAAGACAGAAACTTGGAGACCAAGTCCTGTTAATGTCACAATCTTCTCTTGATTTTATTTCTTCTTATTCAACATCCTGGGGACTACTTGACTTCGGGCCACCCAACGTGGGGCTTGAACTCCCAACACCAAGATCAAGAGTCGCATGCTCTACCAATTGAGCCAGCCAGGCGCCCCATGGGCCATCATTTCTTGCCCAGACTATTTCCAAAGTCTCCTACTAGTTTTTTTGTTCTACCATCTGTCACGATATGCCAATACAGGGATTCCTAACCATTTTTGTGCCATGGAATCCTTTGGCAGTCTAATGAAGTTTATTTTCAGAATGTTTTTAAACGCATAAAACAAAGTACAAAGGATTACAAAAAAAAAAAAACAATTACACTGCAATACAGTTATCAAAATATTTTCTAAAAGGAATGTGTGCTGTAGTAACTTACGAGCTTCTTTTTTTTTTTTAAAGATTTTATTTATTTATTTGAGAGAGAGAATGAGATAGAGAGAGAGAGCATGAGAGGGGGGAGGGTCAGAGGGAGGAGCAGACTCCCCGCTGAGCAGGGAGCACGATGCGGGACTGGATCATGACCTGAGCCGAAGGCAGTTGCTTAACCAACTGAGCCACCCAGGTGCCCCACTTATGAGCTTCTTAACACAGTTCTCCTTAGGGGTCTAATAACTACAGTTGACCCTTGAACAACACAGGGGTTAGGGGTGTCAACCTAGCATAGTGGGAAATCTGCATGTAACTTTTGACTCCCCCAAAACTTAATAGCCTACCGCTGACCGGAAGCCTTACGGATAACATAAACAGTTGGTTGATACATATCCTATACAGTATACATATTATATACTGTATCCTTACAACAAAGTAAGCTAGAGAAAAGGTTATTAAGAAAATCATGAGGGGGCAACTGGGTGGCTCTCAGTCAGTTTGATTTCGGCTCAGGTCATGATCTCAGGTTTGTGAGATCAAGCCCTCTGATGGGCTCCGTGCTGGGCCTGGAGCCTGGTTAAGATTCTCTCTCCTTCCTTCTCTCTCTGCACATCTGCTCCCCTCTCCTGCTCTCTCTCTCAAAAAAAAAAGGGGGGGGGCGCCTGGGTGGCTCAGTCGGTTAAGCATCTATCTGCCTTCCGCTCAGGTCATGATCCCATGGTCCTGGGATCGAGCCCCACATTGGGCTCCCTGTTCAATGGGGAGCCTGCTTCTCCCTCTCCCTCTGCGGCTCCCCCTGCTTGTGCTCTCTCTGTCAAATAAATAAATAAAATCTTAAAAAAAAAAAAAAGAAAATCATAAGGAAAACACATTTATAATATTGTACTGTATTAATCGAAAAAATCCACCTATAAGTGGACCCATGCAGTTCAAACCCATGTTGTTCAAGGGTCAACTGTACCGTAATTTCAAAGAAGTGATGAATGTATAAATGATATTTCAAGACGTCTGCGTCAACTGCAGTGTGATATGAAACCATCTTTGATTTCTATTGGTGACAAAGTCATAGGTACTGTTAATGCCACTACAGTTTGCTGCTTACGTTTGTAAATAAAGAGAGCACTAAATTTCAGACAGTTCGATAAAAACGAAGTTGTGATTTTTTTTCCGCATCCAAGTTCATGTATTCTGTGAGTTCTATACATGGACCATTTGGACCATTAAAAACCCTTACCTTAATCTACTGGTGCAAAAACTGCTTCAGGTGACTGCAAAGATACAGAGAGGTTTTTGTTTTTAAATGTGGAGAAGAAAAACATGAAAACGGGGATCATTAACATCCAAAACGTATGCCATTAATTCCTATACATTTTTGCAAAGTGGGCTAGAAGCCTGGGATTCCTAGCAGCCAAGGAAAAGGTTGTCCCGAACTTTCTCAGCTTAGACCTCGATTAGCCACCTCTTGCCTAGGCTTACCGGACCCTCCTAGCGCAGCCCCCGCCGCCCTCTCCTGCTTCCTCCAGCATCACCATCCCTTCCCGTCCAGCACGGCCCAGCCAGGTCGGAACGACTTCTCGAGGTCGAGACAGGACCGAGACGGGCGCCGCCGGCCCACCCCTGCGGAGGTTAGCCCTCGGGCCACTCCCTCCGGAGCCCAGGCCCGAAGTCCCTTGCACTCGGACGTGACGTCTCCGCTGCCCGTCCTGGGAGTCAGCCCCGCCCGCTCGGCTCCCGCTGCCTTCGGGAAGGGTTACCACTTCGGGATCTACCGCGGGCTGGGTGCCTCACCCACGAAGCACGGCGCCCGTGGCACACTGACCGGCTCCTGAGGGACGCACTTACGGAAGCGCTGCAAAGCCAATTCCATTTCTCCCGGACGGTCCGGTTTGCCAAGTTCCCACAGGAGCGCGGGCGCGCGCGGGGGGCGGAGTGGGGGCCGCCACCCGCGGCCTTGGGCCTCTGGCACAATCTTCTAAGCTCCGCCCTCGGCGGCGTCTCCTAAATACGTCCTTCCGCCCTCTTCCTCCTCTCTCTTTTTCGCCGCCATCCTGCTCTGCGTGGCTGGCTGCTTCTCGCCATGGTAAGTGCATCCGTTACCATCGGCTCCGGGGTGGTTTCCCGAGACCTGAGGCCCCTGCGAGCTCGCTGGCGCCGCACACTGCGTCGAGGTGCGGGCGCCTTTTAGAAGCCTTTTTCCAGGGAAGGTCGAGTTCGGCCACCGCTCCGGTCCGCGGGCCTAGCGGGGAGCTAGCAGGCGTTCGAGGAGGGGCCGGCTGAGCTGGCCGTGCGAGGTCGGAGGGGTGGTGCTTTGTGCGCCGCCCAGGCTAGCAGGGGTTCCCGCTGCCCTTCGCCCTTCTGGAGCGAACTGTGATTCTGGGGCAGGGAGAGAAGTCGGGGAGGGGGGGGGTCCACTGCAGAAACCGTGGCCGCCACGCGCGCCGGGCATCGAGAAGGGAATGGGGTCTGCTGGTTTTCGGAAGATTTTTTTAAGTTGGCGGCCAGGATCACACCACGTTATGAGCTTACAGAACTTGTTAGTCCTTTGTTAGGGACTTGGGCATCTCCCCGTGGAAGCACCTGGAAGGAGGGGTGCTGCGGTGTGGATCAATATGCCATTCGGGCGTTCTTCGTAAAATGCAAGCTGCGGACAGTTATGGTCGTGGGTTTTAACCTGTGATCGTTTTCTGAGAAATTAAAATTGCTATATGCTTCTAGGTGTGGAGAGGATCGGTATCTGGTTTTTTTAGTTGGCAGGAAATTTACAACTGCTACGGTGAGCTGGGAGAGAGGAGTGTAGTCTTCGCCTTCTTTGTAATGGGCCCCTATTATGCAAGGTGCAAGGGTGTGTCGGACCACGTTGGCCAGGCTTGAGACTACCTGCCATTTCTGGGTTGTCCCCCAAACTTGAGCGGGAGTGGCTGGGGTTGGACTTGGATGACCCAAGTTCTTAAAACCAAAAAATGAAATGAGAAATTGGGAAAGTCGTCCTTGAAAACGATATTTTAAGTACAGGAGAATTTATACCAAAATGGTCAGTGATGGGGGTGCCTGGGTGGCTCGGTTGTTCAAGCGGCCCAGTCTTTGATTTCGGCTCCGGTCATGATCTCAGGGTCCTGGGATCCAGGCCTGCATCTGGCTCCGCCCTCAACGAGGAATCGGCTCCGCTGGGGAACTGTCTCTCCTGCCCCTCCCCCTCGCTCTGGCGCACGCGCTCTCCATGTCGTTAGCTACCCCTGTTTTACATAGTGCGCCGAGACTCATTGACTCGCAAGTGCTAGATTGTTCTGGTTGACAAAAAGCTGGGTTCTTTTGTGAAAACCAAGTTCCCCAGCCATCCCCAGTGGTCCGCTGGGTCCTGGGGTGACAGCAGGGAAGGGAAGATGGGAAGGTACCCTAGCCTTGGAAGCATAGATGACCTGGGTTTGAATCCCAGCTCTGCGCATTAGTAGTAGGTTACTTACTTGCCTGACTTTTATCGCTGATTTTTATTCGAACAATGGGGATTATGGTATCTGCCTCCAGAAGTTGTGAGGAACAGCAAAGGGCATGATGGGTTTGGCATTGAGGTTGTTCTTGGTATAGATGAAGCATTCAAATGTTTGTGGATTGAGGGCGTTCCTGACTTCGGATCAGTGGAGCAAGCTCTGGTGCTGCTGTCTAAATTGATTACGTTTCCTTCCTAGTCTTCTCACAAGACTTTCAGAATCAAGCGATTCCTGGCCAAGAAACAAAAGCAGAATCGTCCCATTCCCCAGTGGATTCGGATGAAAACTGGTAATAAGATCAGGTAAGGACCCCCACAACCACCTGCTTGTTTTTGTGGTTGCTACTTTATTTTTTTAATTAATTAATTTATTTTTTGGTGGGCAGCAAAGCAAGGTTTATCGGGCGATAGCGAAGTGATAGTACGAAGCTTCCGAGGAGGGAGGGGACCCGAGAGGATTGCCCTGTGGTGGTTCTTTTAACGCGCTTCCTCAGTGTTTCTGGACAGCAGCCCAGCATTGGCTCCCTTTTGCAAGATAGAGACTTTGAAGCTGAGGAGTGCAAGACCCTGACACCAGTATAGAACTCTTGATTTGATTGAATTACAGATCTAAGTGGGATTAGTTTGCTGGTGTGAAGACTAAGATGTGAATTGGGGGCCTGTTTCCTTAATTCTTTTAGCCAGTTAAAAACACAGGTGAAAATCACCACACGCTGTCGCCTTACAGGCCAGTTAGTTGCTGCCTTTAGTTTATCCTATACTGAACACTGGCTTTTATTATTTATATTAATATGTATAGGAGATGTCTCACTGTTAGAAGTGCAATGAGATCTTAAAACCCCTGGTGTTGCCTCATAACAATACTGAGAAAAGAGCATTGAGTCACTTGGCAAAATGGTTACTTTGGAGCTCAGCCCTTGTACGAGCTTGATGAGTTTCTCTTGAGAACCTCAGACATCATAGTAATGCCCCTTTTTAATGTGTTGACATGAACATAGGCTTCTGTGTCACATCCCCATCTGGTGGTGGGACTTACCGTTCCCGGGTTATTGTGCGCAATGAAAGTGTATGGTGAAGAGTATACACTCAGCCCGGAGAACTGGCAACAATTGATTTTTCTATTACCTCAGCTGTCTTGCAACTTTTTGAAGTTACTGAAAGCAGGTTGCAATTACAGTGCTTCCTTCTGTGGAAGTACTGACATTATCCTGCTGAAAGAAAATCTGTCAGTCATGTTTGATTTTGCCTTAATGAGGGTAAAGTCGTGACCGACTGACATGGACAATTCTGAGGTGGCCTTAGCTCTACAAAGCTCTTGCTTTGATTTTGAAATGATTGGGTGTGTTAATCTCTTGTAAAATTTAGTGTGGGGGCTTTTATATGTGTGTGACCCATGATGTAGATAGGTTGATTTTGATGAAGTTTAGAAGGGGGGGGTTCAATGGAAATGTGTCTGGGTCTACCCCCCAGGTGTGTTGAATCAAAAGCAGGTGGGTGTACTCTTGGGAGGGGAGGGAGCTTCCCCACCCGTCCTGTCTCGATTAAGAACCAGTGTGTTTTCCTAGCCTGGAATCATTTTGAGGTAAAAATTTGATTTGACGAGTTCTTAAACACATCTAGCAAATCACTTTTTACTCTCTAAAGAGAGCTCCAAACCTGTTAAAGGAAGGAAAAATGGGACCCTTTGCCTTCCAAGGATTTTATGGTACTGACAAGGCAGAGTTTGTGGTGAATGAAGGCAGCGAAACTGAGGTCAGACCGCCTTTGTAACCTGCAGTTTCTTTCTGTGCAGGTACAACTCCAAAAGGAGGCACTGGAGAAGAACCAAGCTGGGTCTGTAAGGCGTCACACGTCATGAGATGACACCCCTAATTGGCATACATATTTAATTAAGCTGCGTGAAGATCATGTGTTCTGTCATTCTGTAAACATCCTTCCTACCTGGCCATAGACTTGTCTTATCATGGAAATGATTTTTCTCTCTTGACTATGCCCCTGCACCAGTAGGTTGGTTCAGTAATAAATGTGAGACCTCTCGGCTCTACTACTATTGTGTTTCTGATTTGCAAAGTACTGAATTCCCCACCTGTCAGATCATGCACAGCACTGTCAGAACTTCCTGCAGTGATAGAAATGTCCCTTGACAAGCAAGTATGTAAAGTGTGGCTAGGGGGTGCCTGGGTGGCTCAGTGCCTTAGGCCCAGGTCATGATCTTAGGGTCCTGAGATGGGGCTCCCCACTGAGCAGGGTATCTGCTTGCCCCTCCCCTGGCTCGAGCTCTCTCTTCTCAAATAAATAAAATCTTAAAAAAAAAAAAAAAAAAGTGTGGTGAGTTTGAGTAAAGAACGGACTTGAATTTTTATTTAATTTTAATTAAGAAGCTCCCTGTGGCTAATGGCTCTTAACACCTTATGGGAAGTGAGTATGTGTGTCCTCATACCTCTGGGTAGCACATTCTTTTTTTTTTTTTTTTTAATTTTTTATTGTTATATTAATCACCATATATTACATCATTAGTTTTTGGTGCAGTGTTCCATGATTCATTGTTTGTTCATAATGGGTAGCACATTCTTAAATAGCATCTTTAGCTGCTGTTCTGTAACGCCAGTCTTCTTACAAGTCTATATTTGTAAAAAAATCTACAACTAAAGCTAATTTGATTTTTAAAATCAAAGTTCATTTAGTGATAATGTACAGTTTATAATAAAATTGTAAAATACAGTTGATGGTTGAAACAATATCATTCATGTAAAAACATTGCATGTAAAATTAGAAAGTTCATAGCTCACAAAATTATATATATTTTGCTGGTAGCTCATGAGAACGTTACAGTAAGTTTACTCAGGATACAGAACAAAATTCACAGGCTTGACATTAGTACTGTAAGGTTTTACACTGAATCCATTGACATTTCTGTTAAGGTACACTTGAAATAATTGATTCAGACTACCAATGAACTGACATTTTATTGTATACCAAGATCTATTGGTTTTACAATATGGCTAGTAATCAGTTATTTCACCAATAATTTAAATGAGAGATCTAGTTTTAACACCACTGACATCCACCCTTAGGATAACTAAAATGCACTAGCAGCTTTGATTTTCATTTTCATGAATACATACAAATCTGTACTTTTATAGTTAAAATTTGTACGAAAAGTCAAGCTCTGAAGTATTTTACCCCCAAGAGAAAAGTTCAGATGTTAAAACATTGTTAAAAAAACAAAAAGTAGTATGTGAAAGGATTTTTACTTACTGTTGAACCCCTGCACCACTTAATAAATGAAATTTAACCTACGTGTTAACATTTTGCCGTTCTAGAGTCAAATTTCTATACCTCACAAGGTTAAAGCCGGAATGCCATTAACGAATAGCGGTATAGAAGAGGAAGGACTTGGTGAATTCAACAAAAAAGTACATTGTATTACATAACGTGCAGTTGATAGTTCAGTGGTAATCTAGTGGTAACGTGAACAAAGTATTCTAAGTGACCTTCAAGACTTCCTTGTATCTTTACCATGAGAGAAAATAGCACTTAATTGTTTCCGTAGCATGCAACTGTTAAAAGGTACCCATTCTAGCCCTACCATGAAATTAGTAACTCCGAGAAGTAGCCATAAGCCACAGGAAACTTAGGCCTGCTGCAGTGCTCGTGCATGTTGTACAGGGAAATCAGGCGAGGAATAGAAGTCAGCAAGCAGCCTTACCCTTTGCTTAATTCTAAGTGGGTGCGTTGGAAAGTAATAAATAGCCTCATAAAATAAATGGCAATAAACTCTACCTGTCCAAGGTGAATATATTTTTTTCATAAAGTGTAGGCAGTGTTCCTAGAAATCCCATTAGGGAAAAACCAAATACGATAAAAAAGTGGCCAAGTTTGTCCTGTGTGTAAAAGTCTCTGGGTGTGTTTTATAATCCAAAATGATTCATACTACTCAAATACATTAGCAGAGTATAAAAGCACACCAACAACAAAAGGCATGATTTCCAATGAGATGGGAATGAGGATTAGAGGAGATTAAGGGAGTCTTACATATTACCAGTTGATGGAACTGCCTTTTGTGTCATTAGTTAGACACATGGAATGAGTCTGTAAATGTGACATAGGAAGAACAAGCTTTGAACTTGAACAATGTTACAGGTTCTTAATTCAGGAGCATGGCTTCAATGCTTTATGACATAGGAAGCAACTCCTCCAAACAGGCAATTGGTTTGATTTCTTAGATACTAGGGGAAAAAAAAAAAAAAAACCAGCACTAAAAATATTACTTGTGGGATGCCTGGGTGGCTTGGTTAAGTGTCTGCCTTCGGCTCAGGTCGTGATCCCGGGGTCCTGGGATCGAGTCCCACGTCAGGCTCCTTACTCAGGGAGTCTGCTTCTCCCTCTGCCTGCCGCTCCCCCTGCTTGTGTGCTCTCTCTCTCTCTGACAAATAAATAAAATCTTAAAAAGAAAAGAAAATATTACTTGTAACAATTAGCAACAGAGGAACAACATTAAAAAATCAAAATAAAATACAGGGAACATAGGAGCTGAGGTCCCCAAGGTACCAAAGGACAGAATCAGACTTCTTCACATTAGAATTTTTAAAAAATACAGTTAAAGGAAAAGCTAACTGGGCTCCGCACAGCAGGTTAAATACACAGCAACTTCGAACGGAAGTGATCTGGTCCTCTCATAGTTATGAGAATGTGCGCTAACATCCAGTGCCCTAGAGACAAAAATAGCAAAAGCACAGGGCGCCTGGGCGGCTCAGATGGTTAAGCATCTGCCTTCGGCTCAGGTCATGGTCCCAGGGTCCTGGGGTCGAGCCCCGCATCGGGCTCCCTGCTCGGCGGGAAGCCTGCTTCTCCCTCTCCCACTCCCCCTGCTTGTGTTCCCTCTCTCGCTGTGTCTCTCTCTGTCAAATAAATAAATAAAATCTTAAAAAAAAAAAAGACTCTTCCCTGAAACTTCTATGCCGTTAACTTCTAAAATTTCATCATTAACAGCTAATAATCCTGTGCTTTGAGCCAGATTTGGTCTGCATATAAAAATCCCTGGGACCTTCTCTAAGCCATGCTGTATGACCCTGACAGTGGAGCCATCCCGGATGTAGAACCCTAAGGGTTTCTCAGTGCGGTATTTGTCAAAAGACGAACCCTACGATGTGTTTCTGGGAGAATATCCACATCTGTAATAGAAGACACAGGTGTGAAGTCTTGGGGCATACTGGTGACTATATGTGGCTTTTTTCAATGGTTGTCAGGACGCAATAGATTGGTTAAAAACATTTTTCTTCTTTATTAGTGTGTCTGTACCAAAGGCACTGGAGTCTGCTTCTCCCTTTTTTTTTTTTTTTTTTGGTATAAAAATCCTAAGCTAGTGGATTGGCCATTGAAAGAGCTTTGTGATAATTATCATCATTATAGGTAGTAAGTCTCCATGGATGTCTGTGTAGCCTACTAAAACGTCAATGTTGGGTATCTTCTGAACATGTCGCAGTAATCCGTAAAACCCAAATTTTCCAGGTTTTGATCTGTCCAGTGAATTCAGCTCCAAACTTGCTCTTCCCCTCCATGGTGTCCAGGCAGCTGCTGGCCGGCCCGTGCCAGTGGCTGTGGTTCATGCTGAGGCCCGGCCGCCCCTCGGGAGCGCAGGGAGCAGGGAGTGAGTGCAAGGCCCGCGGGTTGGGGACGCGGCACCTGCGGAGGGGCGGCCTGGGCTCGGGTCTCTGCGCAGAGCTCCGCTCAGGGGGCTCCTCACGCGGCAGGACCGAGGGTCAGACTAATGCCCGTCTTCAATACAAGTAGGAATCCTCTGATCCAGGGGTTATCAAACTGGTCTGCCTGGTCTTGTAGAGCCTGTGAACTAAATTTCTGCATCTTTAAATTGTTGAGAGAAATCGAAAGACCATTTTGGCATTTACTAAATTTAGATTTACTGGGCATTGATGTGTCAGGCACCGTTCCCTAATTACCTGTGGAATGAAGGTGAAACTATAGCAAGAGAAAAGGAGGGGAATCAAGTTTGGTGGCAACCCCGTATCTAGTTTGTAGGGACCCCATGCTGGGCATAGCAGAAGCAGCAAGTGGTAGGGGTGGCATGGCACCAGGGGTCCCTAACCTAGGACCCCGTTAGCAGGCTCTGATGACCATAATCCTTAAGGACCAGGGTTGGCCAGAAATCGGAAGAGTGGGCTACAGAATACCAACTAGCCAGCCTGGGAAGCTGGGACCTGCGGCTGTGTGGCTAGCAGTAAGCGTTGGCCTGCTATAGATGCTCTCCCGGGCCAAAGCGGAGGGACTTGGTCTAATTGGCAGCCATGTGATGTGATGTTTTGGAGCCTTAAAAATACCTTAGCCTCACTCTTCAGGGGAGGTTGGCACAGGGCGAAGGTGGCACTGATGCAGAGGGAGCTTTCCTACAGACCTTACATAGGTAGTATTAGAAATGAGAGGGGAGGGGCGCCTGGGGGGCTCAGTCGTTAAGCATCTGTCTTCGGTTCAGGTCAGGATCCCAGGGTCCTGGGATCGAGCCCCGCATCGGGCTCCCTGCTCCGTAGGCAGCCTGCTTCTCCCTCTCCACCGCTTGTGCTCTGTCTCAAATGAATAAATAAAATCTTTAAACAAAAAGAAGAGGGAGACTTAGCCAAAATCATACCTACCTTGGGTTTGTAAGGACTGAAAATGTCTGTAAAAGATCAGTTGTACGAGGTGTTCTCGCATTGTACAGATTCAAGAAGGCTCTGCAGCTTTCATTCCTGCTAAGAATAGCAACTAGCATTTTGAGTGCT